CCTTAATAACTGTAGCATTGCCCCTCCTCTCTAACTCTTCGCCCCCACCACCCTCTCTCCTCATACACACACCCCTACTACTCACACACTACATATACACACCCTAACACACACGCTCCCAATCCATGTGTCTCAAGGTTATTTCTATCCTATGAGAAACAATCAGAAGTTTAATGAGCCTGTGTTGTCAGCTGTTTCTAACCAAACAAATCCTGTTTACACAACCGTTCAGCCATTGTGACAATGTCACCGCACTGACATCACCACCACATGCCCCACTGCTAACTCTGAGACCAGAAGGTTTATTGCAGTTGCTGATGGGTGGCTGGGAAAGGGCCGGGTTCACATGCTCTGCTTACCAAGAGATTCCTTGAACCGTTTCAAAATTCAAGCCTGACCCAGAGAGAGGCTTTCATGTGAAAACTCCTCATGTGAAAACTCCTCGTTAAGCTCTCTCCTTTTTTTAAAAAAAAAGAAACTTGTGTTCCCCTCTTTGATTTCGATCTCGAGTTTACTGCTCAGACAAACAGCACACAGACACCATTGTTATGGTAACAGCTTGGCCCTGTTTGTCAGTCGTTACCAACATTGTGCAACCCCACCCCAAGCACCCCTCACTCCCTCCCTCCCCACCCACCCACCCTCCCACTGACCAACCGACTGACACACACACACACAATGTTGGGTCTATTTGGTTTGCATAGCAACCATGCTTTGCTCCATCCACATGGAGAACCTCCGCAACACTTTCTTTTAACAAAGCAGAACATCGGGGGATAAAACAATAATTATCAGAGTTGCAGATCAGTGGAGCCTTTGTCCTCGGTGAGGGAATCATTCAGATCCAGATTGCATTGCGGACTTGTTTTTTTAACTATATATATATAAAATTAAAAAAAGTGATCTGTGCAGGCAACTCCCCTTCAGTCTTTTATACTGTTAAAACAAACCAGAGAGAGCAAAAGCAAGCACAAGCAGGGCCAGCCCTTACAAATGCCTCGAGGCTACATGGAGGATTAGAGGTTTTATACTTGATCCTGTGCGCTGCAGTAGTGTGAGCATGTTCATCATTGTTCAGTGCTGATAATCAAGGTGAACTTTCCCCGAGCCCTTTACCCACATGCTCTGGGTTCTTTACAGCAAGCAACCCCTCTGTTCCAGGTCATAGAAACAGGAGGAGGCTATTCAGCCCCTCAAGCCTGTTCCACCATTCAATAAGCTCATGGCTGATCTGTAACTCAAGTCCAATTATCCACCTTTTCCCTGTATTCCCGATACCCGATCTAACAAACATCTCTCCACCTCAGTCTTGAAAATGTGAATGGATCCAGCCATAATCCACAGCCTTTTGGGGGAGGGAGGGAGAGAGTTCCAGATTTCCACGAGCCTTTGGGTGAAAATCTGCATCAGGCCATTGTTTCAACAATAAGTCGGTCGCTAACACTGCAGCTGCTTTCCAGACATTTTCTGAAAATAAAGACACTCCCTAATGTACACAGGATGCAACTGGCATCAACATATTTAAGGGAGTGTCTGTATTTCCATAATCCAATGGTGAGTGCACTCTCAGCTTTGTGGCTTCCACACAACATTTGGGATGTATTAACAAATCGGCTTCGTACAAATTCCACCTTGACAGGGCAATAGATATTAATCATACAACACCACCACCCTGCACTGATAGAGCGCCCTTCACACAGGGGAGCGCCCCGGGGGGCTTGACAGTAGCAGAGTCTGACCCTAAGCCAGGGGGAGAGGGAGGAGGAGGTGACCATAAGCACCATCAAAAAGAAAGGTCTTTAGGTAGGTGGGGTTCGAAGGTAGGGGTCAAGGCAGAGGAGAGAGTCCAGGAGGGAGAGAAGACGGGGAGGGCAGTAGGAAAGAAGGAGTGAGTGGGAGTAACGAATGTTAGGGAGTAGGAGCATTTTGAGGTGTGGTGGGGGCTCAGGTCAGGGGCAGCAGCCAAACATGTATGCCCATCATTATTCTGAAAGCTAGTTCTCTAATAAGTTTTTTTTATTTAGAAAAAGTATATATACACACACACATATATATATATTATATATTTACACACACTCTGTCTTCCTTTGGAGTCTTCTCGAATCAGGTTAGTGTCAGTCAGATATCACTGGAGACAATTAGCCCTGACACTGCACTGAATGATAGGAGCTCCCTACAGATTTGGGTCACCTATGATGTAAAGAAGGCAATGAAGGCAAGCAGAGAAGCGACATTAAGGTGGTAATTTGTACGTCATACATATTTATAAGAGGGCCGGGGTGGGGGGGTGTTGGAAATCTATCCCACAAAGGCGAACGTGTTTAAACTGTGTGCAAGTAATAGAATTTTTTTTGTTTCTTTTCTAAATTCAGTTGGAAGCCAAAGAGGCACTTTTAATGATGCATTAATTATTCAGACAAACAATTCAGCTATCGGGGCGGCGTGGAGAAAAAAAAATACTTTTAATAGAACAAAACATTTCAAATGGAAAAATTGGCCGGCACTCAATAGAAATGATACCCTCCCCCACCCCCCAATTTGGTAATCAAAGAAGGCGAGGCGTCTATCAATGCATCGACTCTTGTTTGTAATGTTGGTGGCAGAGCACAGTGGTGTACCGAGCGATGGGCTGTGGCACAAAGTGGTAGGAAATGGGCGGGTGTCTGCAGTTACCCAGAAGTTCCGGTCTTAAACTACGCCACCGTGAAGTAGGCAGGAAATCAGCTGCTTCCCAACAGTGTGACAGAGAGCACCATCACTCTCCCCTCCCCCACACTCCCCCATTAAACAACATAAAGCCCACCGTTCCCTGGCTGAGCAAGGCACCTCCTAGTGGCTGGATTATTAAGAACCTTATTAACAAATGCCTGATTACTGCTATACCCTTCTGTTATCCTGCCTGGTCAAAGAATGGAAGGAAGCCCACAAGACATGCGGTCAAGTCACTCTACAGTGTATACTGAGAAGCGCTTTGAGACGTCTCGAAGATGTGGTCAGGCGCTGCATCAGACGCCAGGATTATTATTATCATAAAATGGGGCGTCCCATTATACCATAAACAAAGGTCCGCGTAACTATTTGGTTTCCAACCAAGTCAGGCACAGACCCCAAAAAAAAAACCTCCTCGTCACGGCCTTTAGTGACAGATTCAGTGGCAATCCCTGCTGTGCAGTCTCTACAGGTCAGTGCATTGCAATGTGCCCACAGCCACTCAGTTTGCTAACGGGGTAGGAATCTACACCCAGGGCTCAAAGCGGGGCAGCACAGTGATCCCATACCTGCACATTCCACACGAGCATTTCAACTCTGGAATGTGGCACCGTCTGCTTTCAAAAACCTGTATGTTTTTATAGAGCCACTCTGAACCCACATATTTTTAATGGGAAACTAATGTGCAGAGTATCTATTTACAAAGCCCGCCCGACGTGATAAAATGACTGTGGTTCAGCAAATGCATCGACACTTATATCCATCCGAGCTTGACAAGTAATGCCCGACAGAGAAATCAGTTGACTGTTGATTTTTTTTTATCATTATTTAAACTCGGCTTTTCTGTTGAAAGAACTGCTGATCGGACGTTTTTCTTGTACGCAAACAGATTTTCACTAACGCTAGGCTGACCACGAGCGATTAATGGCATTAGCCAGGCTGCCCCAATGTGCTACATTGCTCACAGTCCAGATAGTTAGGGGTTTAACTCGCATCCAGCGCTGACTTAGCTGATTCCTAATGTGTGCTGATATTACCTGGGGAGCAGGTCGGAGGTGCTATAAATTGATGTGATCATTGTGGTTAAGGCAGGAGGAACAAGGAACAAAAAGGAGAGAGAGAAACGGAGGGTGGTGGTGGCGGGGGGTGGGGTGGGGAATGGGGGAAATCAGTCAAGGTTCCTGCTCCTGATTACCATCCAGTGACCCTTTGCTGAGAGGGGATGGGAGGCGGGGGGAAGGGAGAGAGAGAGAGAGAGAGAGTCTGCGGATGTCAGGCAAAGAGACAGCTTAGCTGTGGCCTTGGCTGCCCTCCACAATCAAATGGTCTCGTCAACTTTCACCATTGTAGGCGTGAAGAATGCTGCTCTGTGCAAGGTTACTGCACGGGGCTGCCGACATCTGTCTGGAGGTGTTACTCAGGCGAAAAATAAGCCCCAGGAAAGCGTTGTTAACCAAATAGTGAGTGTGTGCGGTAACCAGGCAGGCGAGGTGACACTGCACTACTCCTCATACCAGCAACCCTGCAGAGCAGCGCAGGGCAGGGCGCGCTGTTATCTGCATCGCGTTACTATAGAAACCCAACAGCAGGGCTGAGTTTGTGCTTCAGTGCAGTGGAATTCAACAGACTGACAAACAGCCGAAGCAGCTACTGTCCCGAGGCACTTGGAGAGATGTCGACAAAAAAAATTGGAGCGGGGGGGGGGTGGGGCGGGGGAACAAAAAGAGCGAGGGCGGGGGGGGGGGGGGTGGATTTTTTATATATTAAAATAAACGCAGAGATCAACACGCAATCGGCTGCTGCGTTTCACCCACAGGATACAGGCGGTTCACTTTACAGTATATATTCTGTGAAGCGCTTTGAGACGTCTTGCAGACGTGATAAGGCGCTGTATCGAATACAGGGATTATTGTTGTGTTGTTACTCGGCACGCTGAAAAACAAAGCCACTTCTTGGGTGGCTGCTGCGCAAAGTGAAAATGGAGGTGGGACACGGCAATAATAATAGTTTGGTTTCCTGTTACTTTGAATAATCCGTGAAGCGCTTTGAGATGTCTCGATGATGCCATAAGGCGCTATATGCCACGCACAATTGACTGGCGCGTTTCGCCCATAAAACACACCCTCACTAGACTTTACAGTAAATCCTGCGAAGCACTTTGGGAGAAGTCTTGACCAGGCGCTATAAATGGGGCGTCCCATTATACACAACACAATCGAATGCAAGGATTATTATTATTATTATATCAAATGTGAGCATCAGTATTATTAATTATTATGATTACTACTCACTGATATCGAAGCTTGACCTGATCATTGTCGGGATTGCAGTACAGCCTCTCCAGGTGTTCCTGCGCCTCTTCAGAGATTCCCTGCCAGGTGTGGCTGGCAATGTCCCTGAGCTGCCAGTGGTAAGGCAGGACGGTGTGGTGTTTGGGGCAGTCGCTGCCATAGGCACACTTGCCCTGCAGGAACTCGTCGCACACTTGCACCCCTTCCTCGCTGTGCGTGTGATACTGCAGCTGAGTCAAGAGGTCAAAGACCAAGTCGATAGACGCCTCCTCGCTCTTATCCTGGAAGATGCCACCGTCAACAGCAGCGGCTGCCACCTTGAGGTCCTCTTCTGCCCCACTCTGGCCCAACAGCAGCAAGTCGTGGGAGCCTGGGATCTGATGATACAGAGGAGTGGGGCAATCGGTAGCCATTGGATTGCCATTGACATCTTGGCCAGGACATGTCTGGTTTTGGAAAGGTGAGTTGGCAGAAGGTCCCACCACCATGGGCGTCTCTGCGGGTGTGAAGCTGTGCTGCAGAACCACCGTCTGGTGTTGGAGCTGCAGTTGCAAAGCTGTCTCCCCAACTACAGGCACCCCAGACCCCTCGCCATCGCTCCCCGGCTGTTGGTGGTGGTGGTGGTGGGGGCTGTTGTCATCACTTTCCTCCCCCTCCTCCTCCTCTTCCTCCTCCGTCTTCTTCTCTTTCTTCAGAGCCTCGAACAAGATACCACCAACACTTCCAGCTCTGTCTCTAACACCGTCTAACTTGTCTGAGCGCAGCAGGCTGGTGAGGATGAAGCTCAGGGCACGTAGGTTCCTCACCTCCAGCTTCCTCTGAGCGTGTTTCTTCTTCAGGATGACATTGATGAGCGGCACCTTGTTGGGGATGGCAATAGGCTGGGCTAGCTCCTGCTGGAAGCTAACAGGAGGAGCCAGGCTCAGCTCTGTGGTGCACTGAGAGCTGAGCAGAGCAGTAGCATTGCTGCTGGGCTCTGCCTGTGCCCCACACACATGCAAACTCTTCTCCATTTGCTTTGCTCCTTTTTTTCTTTCTCCCCTTCTCTCTCGCTCTCCTTTTACCCGTCCTCCTTCTCCACTTTACAAATCCAATCTCGCCGACCTGTTGACAAGAGGGGTGATGGATTGCCTTAACGATTAAACCAGTGTGTGCGTGTGCGGCTGTGTGCTGTTGTGTGTTCCTTGCAAATGCATTCAGTACGAGACCAGATTCAAATCTCTTCCAACTCCTCCCTCTCTCGCCCTCTCTCTCTACGTTTTATTCCTTCCTTCCTCCCCTCCTCCTCACAGCACGTAGGGCAAAAGTTCCCAACCAAATGCAGTGTCAATTAATTCCCAAAAAAAACTTTGTACTGTGCGTGCAGAATGGGATGCTCCCTGCAAAATAGGCTTACGGGTGAAGGGAAGGGAAGAGAAGAGGGGGGGGTGTGAGAAGATGAGCTCTGGGGAAAGAAAGGAGGAAAAATGAAAAGGAAAGTAAGACAAAAAATAAGGGAGAGGGGAGAATGGAAGGAGGCGGTTGTGTGTAGAGGCGATTGGGTGCAATTTAGGATTTTGGGGGCTTTATTAGGTCTCTCTTGTCCCGACAGCTACACTAATTAACTAACTAACTAACGAAGTAACTCACTAACTAACCAACCAAACAAACCTGCAGCGACTGACTGCAAACTTCACGGAACAAGAGGCTGACTCATATGTTAGAGGCGAAGTAGTCACACACGCACACAAAAGGGAACCACACACACACACACACACACACCCAGAGTCACACACACAGTCTCACACACACGCACAGTCTCTCACACACACGCACAGAGTCACACACACACGCACAGAGTCACACACACACGCACAGAGTCACACACACACGCACAGAGTCACACACACAGTCACACACACAGTCACAGTCTCTCTCACACACAGTCACACACACACACAGTCACACAGTCTCTCACACACACAGTCTCTCACACACACAGTCTCTCACACACACAGTCTCTCACACACACAGTCTCTCACACACACAGTCTCTCACACACACAGTCTCTCACACACACACACAGTCTCACACACACACACACAGTCTCACACACACACACACAGTCTCACACACACACACACAGTCTCACACACACACACACAGTCTCACACACACACACACAGTCTCACACACACACACAGTCTCACACACACACACAGTCTCACACACACACACACAGTCACACACACACACACACAGTCACACACACACACACACAGTCACACACACACACACACAGAGTCACACACACACACACACACACACACAGAGTCACACACACACAGTCTCACACACACACACACACAGAGTCACACACACACACACACACAGAGTCACACACACACACACACAGAGTCACACACACACACACACAGAGTCACACACACAGTCTCACACACACACAAACGGGAACTAGAAAGAGTCCTTCTGTGATCACTAACTGAAACCTCTCCTCCCCCCAGAATACAGCCCTCACCCACAGGGCGGCTGTGTCCCGCAGCACCAACACCAGGACCTCCTGATCTCTTTACCAGAGACACTTTCTTGGAACTTTTAACACTAGAGTTTGAAACGTGTGAAAATGACCTTTCTGTTCCCCCTCTAAACCAAACAGACAATCTGCTAAAACACTACAGCAATTTAACAAGAGAGAGGGGTGGGGGCGACAGTGACAAGTGTAGAGCTGGAAAGTATTGAGTTGTAAATAGTACAACGAAGAATAAAAAGCTGAGCAGCGGATGGATTAGTGCGTTTCGCCCACAAAATACAGTTAATTCACTTTACAGGGTATCCTTTGAAGCGTTGTGAGAGTCTGTCTTGAAGACGTGATAAGGCACTGTATCAAATGCAAAGACTATTATAGCTCTCTCTCTCACACACGCACTCGCTCAATGGAACTAAACCATGCACACACTTAGCTCACACATACACAGGAAGCACATGCACACGCACACACTTAGCACACACGGGAGGCACGCACACACGGGAACAAAACCGAGCACGCACACTCAACTCACACTCACACACGCACAAGTAAACCAAACTGCACACCAGTGCCTCGGGATGTGAAAGGCGCTATACAGATGTAATCATGTTGTTGGTGTTGCACATACACTCAACTCACACGGGAACCAAACTGCACACACACTCACTCACACTCACACTGCACTGATTGATAAACGGTGCAAGTTACAAAGTGTCTCAAAACTTACAGCCAAAGAAGAGCGAGTGGTGGTGTTTCCCAAAGGGTCAGAGCTTGGCTTGGCTGGTTGGGTTGGTTGGTTGGGTTGGTTGGGTGGTTGGCTTGGCTTGGCTGGTTGTGTTGGCTTGGCTTGGCTTGGCTGGTTGGGTTGGGTGGTTGGTTTGGCTGGTTGGGTTGGTTGTGTTGGGTAGTTGGCTTGGCTTGGCTTGGCTGGTTGTGTTGGCTTGGCTTGGCTTGGTTTGCTGCTGCTGCTGATCACAAAACCCTCTCTCAGCTCAGCTCAGGTCCTGCAGACAGAACAGAACAGAGCAGATCTGAAATCCTCTGTTCAGCCTCTCACAATGTTTCGAGGGAGAATTACATTGACAATCCACAACAGTCAGTCATGTTCCTCTCCTCTCCTCTCCCTCTCCCCTCCTCTCCTCTCCTGCTGGTCTCCCTCTCCTCTCCCCTCCTGCTGCTCTCCTGCTGGTCTCCCTCTCCTCTCCCTCTCCCCTCCTGCTGGTCTCCCTCTCCCTCTCCCCTCCTGCTGCTCTCCTGCTGGTCTCCCTCTCCCTCTCCCCTCCTGCTGCTCTCCTGCTGGTCTCCCTCTCCCTCTCCCCTCCTGCTGCTCTCCTGCTGGTCTCCCTCTCCCCTCCTGCTGGTCTCCCTCTCCCTCTCCCCTCCTGCTGCTCTCCTGCTGGTCTCCCTCTCCTCTCCCTCTCCCCTCCTGCTGGTCTCCCTCTCCTCTCCCTCTCCCCTCCTGCTGGTCTCCCTCTCCTCTCCTCTCCCTCTCCCCTCCTGCTGCTCTCCTGCTGGTCTCTTGTCTCTCTGTCTCCACCTTCTTCTCTCTCGTCCAGGAAATGAAAGCTCACATCAGCACAGACAGATGGACTTGTTTGGATCCAATTTGGGGCTTCAATTTTTTGTGTGTGGTGGGGAGAGAGGGAGGGTAGGCAAGGTGGGGGGGGGGGGGGGGGGGAGGTCCTGGGGGATGGAGTTAGAGAAAGGGAAGGGGGGGGGGGGAGGGAAGGGAGAGAGAGAGAGAGAGAGCAGCCTTTAACAGTGCTGTCAGCTTGTCCTTTAAGTACAGACTGGTTCAGTCACTCAACTGGGAGGGTGTACAGGGGGTGTACAGGGCTGGGAGGGTGTACAGGGGGTGTACAGGGCTGGGGGGGTGTACAGGGGGTGTACAGGGCTGGGAGGGTGTACAGGGGGTGTACAGGGCTGGGAGGGTGTACAGGGGGTGTACAGGGCTGGGAGGGTGTACAGGGGGTGTACAGGGCTGGGAGGGTGTACAGGGGGTGTACAGGGCTGGGAGGGTGTACAGGGGGTGTACAGGGCTGGGAGGGTGTACAGGGGGTGTACAGGGCTGGGAGGGTGTACAGGGGTGTACAGGGCTGGGAGGGTGTACAGGGGGTGTACAGGGCTGGGAGGGTGTACAGGGGGTGTACAGGGCTGGGAGGGTGTACAGGGGGTGTACAGGGCTGGGAGGGTGTACAGGGGGTGTACAGGGCTGGGAGGGTGTACAGGGGGTGTACAGGGCTGGGGGGGTGTACAGGGGATGTACAGGGCTGGGAGGGTGTACAGGGGGTGTACAGAGTGGGAGGGTGTACAGGGGGTGTACAGGGCTGGGGGGTGTACAGGGGGTGTACAGGGCTGGGAGGGTGTACAGGGGGTGTACAGGGCTGGGGGGGTGTACAGGGGGTGTACAGAGTTGGGAGGAGCTCTCTCTCTCTCTCTAAATCTTAGCAAAACGCAAAGCAGTGTCGGGTATTTGAAGCTTTATATCTATAAATACTGTGTGTGTATATATATATACACATCTGCATAAAACAGCCATCGATTCCTACCAGGAAGCAGCACAGCCCTATTGCTGATGCACCGCCTGGTTTCCTGCAGCAACAAACACACAATAAACACATCACCACCACCACCATCAGCTGCAGCTCCTCTCACTGTCTCCCTCCACATCGGCCCAATACACTGAGCACTGCACTAAATATACCAACACCACTGCTGCCCTCCTGACCACTGCCCCACACCCCACACACACCCCCACACACACACCCCCACACACACACCCACACACACACCCCCCCACACACACCCACACACACACCCCCACACACACTGAGCACTGCACTAAATATACCAACACCACTGCTGCCCTCCTGACCACTGCCCCACACCCCCCACACACCCACCACACACCCCACACACACACACACACACCCCCCCCCCACACACACACACACACACACACACACACCCCCACACACACACCCACACACACCCCCACACACCCACACACACCCCCACACACACCCCCACACACACACCCCCACACACCCCCACACACCCCCACACACACACCCCCACACACCGGGAACACACTGAGCACTGCACTAAATATACCAACACCACTGCTGCCCTCCTGACCACTGCCCCACACCCCCACACACCCACACACACACCCCCACACACACACACACACACACACACACCCCCACACACACACCCCCCACACCCACCCCCACACACACCCCCACACACACCCACACACACACACCCACACACACACACCCCCACACACACCCCCACACCCCCACACACACCCCCCCCACACCCCCACACACACCCCCACACACACCCCCACACACACCCCCCACACACACCCCCACACCCCCACACACCCCCCCCACACCCCCACACACACCCCCACACACACCCCACACACCCCCCCACACACACCCCCACACACCCACACACACACCCACACACACACCCCCCCACACACACCCCCACACACCCCCACACACACACCCCCACACACCCCACACACACACCCCCACACACCCCCACACACACACCCCCACACACCCCCACACACCGGGAACACACTGAGCACTGCACTAAATATACCAACACCACTGCTGCCCTCCTGACCACTGCCCCACACACACCCACACACACACACACACACACACCCCCACACACACACCCCACACACCCCCCCCCCCCCACACACACACACACCCCCCACACACCCCCACACACACACCCACACACACACACACACACACACACCCCACACACCCCCCCCCCACCCACACACACACACCCACACCCACACACACACCCACACACACACCCACACACACACCCCCACACACACACACACACACACCCCCACACACCCCCCCCCACACACCCCACACACACACACACACCCCACACACACCCCCACACACACACACACACCCCCACACACCCCCACACACACACACCCCCACACACACACACACACCCCCACACACCCCCCCCACACCCCCCACACACACACCCCCACACACACACACCCCCACACACACCCACACACCCACACACACCCCCACACACACCCCCACACACCCCCCACACACACACACCCCCACACACCGGGAACACACTGAGCACTGCACTAAATATACCAACACCACTGCTGCCCTCCTGACCACTGCCCCACACCCCCACACCCCCCCACACACACAC